AGCAAACATGTCCATATTTGAATGTCACTATAGATGAGGTGCCACAAATAGGTATCATTTGTTATGGTATGTATTTCAAAGACAAGAGGCAAGTTGGAAAGCATGTCTGATAGAAATTTGGCTGAGCAGATGTGTAAATTAATTGCAGACAGTGATCCTCATGTAACCAAGAATATGGCTGCCAAAAAGATTTTTAAAAGCTGTTACTGTAAGCTGTGCATATGATGAAGTGATTTGATTAGTACATCCAGACTTCTATCTTTTGGGCTTTGGTAAAACTATAAACACTTACAATTGATAGTACACTTCTCCCTTGAATTGTACGGGTCTTAACAGGACAGTTTTTGTTATACGTGGATGTTTTAAATCAATAAATCAATATTCCAATAAAGAAACAAATATTCAATAAATATTGTGTCCCTGGCCACCCAGAACCCCATGTATTCAACACTGAAAGTGCTGAAGTGGTCTATTTGCCCCCAAACACAGCATATCTAATTCAGCTTGTAAATCAGGGGTCATAACGATCAAGGTTCATTAAACATGGCACTGTATGGAAAGAATTGTCAACAGAGATGGGCATGGACCGCAGTGAGGCAATGCTGAAAGCTTCCCAGCCCTACCTCCTCTGAGTGGGTGGCTGCTGGAGGAGGCAGAGGAGGGATGTGCATGCTGGGATTGGTGAATGGGCAGTTACACGGAGGAGGCAGGGAGGGGAGTGTGCACTGCCTGGGGAATGGGCAAGCATTAAATCAAGAATATCTGGAAGCAGCCGTATAGATGACTGAGCTCACCCATTCATTCTGAGTCGAGATGGGAATGACTTGCTATTTTGGAGTCGTCCTGGTTCTTGAGTCATCAAAAACTGACAACTCACAAAGTACAAAGCTGTCCCCATGAACTGACAAGGCATGAATTTCTTTGTCGATTCTTGGGGAGGGTTACTAAAAAAACACTGACACCCCACTGCCCCTCATGCCCCCCACGCTGCCACTGCCCCCCAAAGATCCCCAGCTGAACCATAATCACCATTGCCATGGCCACCATCTCCAGCTGGCCTCTGCAGCCACAGCCTGTAGAAAGGAACACTGGCTGCCCCTTGCAAAGATGGTGGCTGAGGCTTCATTTAGGGTAGGGAAGCTGCACTTGCCATCTTTGCAAAGGTCAGCCTGGATTCCCTTAAGGCAGTGGCTAAGGTAGGAAGAGGAAGGGGCAGGGGATAGGCTGTGGGGGTGGGTAGCTGCCTATTGGCTCACCGATCAGCTGATTGGTGGGCCGATAGGAAGGATGAGAAAGCCATAGGAAGAGAGGGAAGACTAGCCTTCCCTCTCTTCATATGGGAGATGAATAAAAATGGGGAAATATTTGTCCCTTTGTATTTGTGGGGGTCTCTGGACCCCACAAATATGAAGGGATGAATATTTAATGAATCAGCGATTTGACAAATATCGTGATCAAGTTTTTTATTCATCCCCATGTCTAATTCTGAGTGGTGACCAAGAGGAAAATTGTCTACTAAAACTGCAGTTTTGACTACCCTAACTTTCTCTAAGTGCTAACACATGTGATGGGTTTTGTAGCTCAGGGCATCTGCTGGGCACCACCTTGGGGAAAGCAGCAACATAACAATGGGAACAGAACTCTTATGTACTGTTCTCTTTGTAACATTGCAGGGCATGTCTTGCCTTAGGCCACCCAGCAAGTTTTATGGTAGAAGTAAAATTCGAAGCGGAGATCTGATGATCAGAAGTGCAGGCTTATAGTCTACTACACTACATCTCAATACAAATATTTATTTCATTCTTTTCAAAACCAGAACACTCATGGCATGTGTTTCCCATGTTTATCATTCCATGGAGGTGATGGTGCAACTTTGGTACTCGCCTTCCTACAAAAGCCGATTCCAGCATTCCAGTTTGTTGTTGCTGTGTGCCAGCCAGTCACTTCTGACTCACTGCACCCTGATGAACTAGTGACCTCAAAAAGGTCCTGCCTTTAAGAGTCCTGTTCAGGTCTTGGAAAATGCAAGGGCATACTCTAGTTGGCTTTGAAATGCAATAGTGCCACCTAGTGGCTAGTAACTAAATGAGATATATTCAATGCTCACTTCCAAATACACATAGATATAAACATTTGAGCAGTTAAGCGATGCTTTAGTGAGATGACGATGCATCTTTTGGCAGCCATGAAATGGAAATGTTTCCGATTGATTCAGTGAGACCAATATTTGACTCGCGTTGTTGAGAGGGCAAGCCCAGGGTCTCCAAGAGAATGTTTCAAGAGAGTGAGGAATCCTACGTGTTTTTTTTTTCTGGAAGTGAGTGATAGTTATCCCAGACCAGGACCGGACATAACTGTTGTTAATATAGCAAAAGTCAGAGAGAACATATGCTTGTGGGGCTTTTTTCTTAAGAACATAATAACCTTGCTTGATTAGATGTAATTTGGACCTAAACCCAGCATATTGTTACCCATTGTGGCCAAAGAGATGCGGGTAACTAAGTGAGAACATACATGAAACATTTGTACAGACTTATAAAGGCACTCTGGGTAGATGTGTGAATAGCATTGCTCTCTCTGTTGTTGCTATCTTCACACTGAGAGTGATGGTCTGACAAGGAGATTCTCCCCAAACCATGGGGGTTTTCCATGTGATCCAGAACTTTTTTGGGGAAAAACAGGGTTTCCAAAAATGTTTAGAAGTGGCATACATGAAAGACATCACCCTGTTCAGGCTGTGGTTGTCTATATCACTGGTTCTTAACCTTGGGTTACTCAGGAGTTTTGGACTGCAACTCCCAGAAGCCTTCACCACCAACTGTGCTGGCTGGGGTTTCTGAGAGTTGCAGTTCAAAAGCATCTGAGTAACAAAGGTTAAGAACCACTGGTCTATATGAAGAAAGTGATGAGGGAAAGATGGGGCTACCCTGCTCTTTTTCTTCACACCTTCAGGCAAGACATATTGGAAAGTCCTATGTAGGGCTTATATTAAACATATTATTGAATATTTTAGACTATATTTCTAAGTCAGCTCCAGCTTCTGTTTTCACTATAAAATAAACAACTAAAAGAATGGTTATGAGATGTATGTGATAATTGAACGGATCAACTTAATGACTCCACACAAATGTCCTCTGAGCACTGTGACTGGAGTGTGTCAGTGAGATTCCTGCCTCAGATTGCATGCTAGAAGTCCAAGTGATCAAAGCTATCTCCCCTCTTTATCATGCCATTTTTGAGAGACATACCCTGGATTTTTCCTGTTTATTTCTGTTGTTGCAACCTCCAGATCAGTCCAAACCAAAGCATTCCAACATTTCACCCTGGAATTGAATCTAGCCATGTTGCTTCAGTCCAGACCTTATATGAATCAGTCCAAAAATAGTTTGATTCATTTGGAACATAACCTTTAAATAAGAAATAAGATGGGCAGGTTACTCAATTCTTGTGGAATTATAGGTTCTCCTGGACAATAAGCCAGATCTGTTGAACCAACCCTGGTGATCAATGGCGTGAAAGATGTCATGACCAGATCTCCCTTACATCCAGAGCAATACGCGTAAGCATTTTTTAAAAAGGTAGATGGTGCTAGACCATGGATCTGGGGTGGGGTGAGGCAGGTTAGTGGGTGGCCATGTGTAGTATAGAAGTAACATTTATCTTCTCCCCCGTATACTACCATTCCCTGCTTTACACCTACTTTTGCCTTCCTGGTTTGTTACAAGTAAATAACAAATCAAATCTAGAAACTCTAATTAAAAAATAATGTTGTGGCCAGCATTCTATTAGTGTTTATGTAAAATTTGTTTCTGACTGACAGGAATATTTTCAGTCAACAACTACAAAATCTCCCTTGATGAGCCTGCCTAGATGTTAAGATAATCAAGAGAGGACTTTCTCTTGGTCCCACCACCTTTACAGGTACCAGAGAGGGCCTTCTCTGTCGCTACTCCCAAACTTTGGAACACCCTCCCACAGGAAGCCAGGCTGGCCTCATCTTTACTGTCCTTCCTCAAGCAGAGGTATTCACTTTGTGGAACTGTACTGTAGGATCTTGCACCTTATCCCTGAAGTCCAACCGTACTGGCAACACCACCATCACAGCTTACCTGCAGATGGAACCGTGAAAGCAAAGGACTTTGTTTGAACCTTTTCTATTCAGTCTTCTTTCCAAGCTCAGTCATCTTGAATAGGACACAGCTATTCACAAAGAGGGATGTGGTGGCGCTGCGGGCTAAACCGCAGAACCTGTGCTGCAGGGTCAGAAGACCAGCAGTCATAAGATCGAATCCACGCGATGGAGTGAGCTCCCGTCGCTTTGTCCCAGCTCCTCACCAACCTAGCAGTTCGAAAGCATGCAAATGCGAGTAGATAAATAGGTACCCCCTCAGTGGGAAGGTAAAATGGCGTTCCCTAATCACGCTGGCCACGTGACAACGGAAACTGTCTTCGGACAAGTGCTGGCTCTATGGCTTGAAAACGGGGATCAGCACCGCCCCCTAGAGTTGGAAACGACTGGACTAAAAATGTCAAGGGGGACCTTTATCTTTACCTATACACAAAGAACTGGCATCATCCATGGCAGCATGCATTTTGGACAATATTTCACTTTGAAGCTTGACCTTTTGCATTTACTGTACATTGGAGAAAATCAGTTCATCAGTTGGGTACCAAAATAATTTGTGATGGTAGATGTGCGATGCATGCGTGTGGGTGCCACCCTTTGCCTGTCTCATCCTCACATTTAAGGACAAAGACCCATAAGGTTGTGCTTCTTGCTTGCTTGGAAAAAACAAGGTACCGTTTGTGACTTTCTTGACAAGAGAAAAGAGAGAGAACAAGAGATATTTTTAATGCCAATTCAACAAAATTGGGCAAACTAGACAGTGTGTGTAAAATATCTATGGCTGCAGTTTTTCTGCTTAGATTTCACAGGTTAGAAACATCAAAGGGATCATTTACATCTGTTTAAACAGCTGGTTCTTCTGTCCTTCTTCTCTGAATGTTTCCACTTTGCTGCTCCATGGAATTAGCTTGTTTTCTCCATCCCCAGAGTGCAGGACCCAACAGTTATGACTCACCATTAGTAGGACCCAGTGGTTGTGACTCAGTATTAAGGAAGAACTTTCTAACCATGAGAGCTGTTTGACAATGGGACAGAGTGCCTCATGAAGTGCTGGATTCCCTAAAAGTGGTTTAAACAGCCCTTTGTGAAGTCCCAAGTGCAACACAGTGGGGAGGCACCAGGAAGTGGCATAAATGGTAGCACAGGTTTTATTCCCAGTAAGATCTCCATGGGATGAACATGTTATATTTAGATGCCCTCAGAGACCCTTATCAGTTCGAACTTCATGCTAGGCTTTCTGGTAGCAATGCAATGTCTCTTTGGTCCTGCTACAGGCTTCCAGTGGCCAAGAAGGACATGCTTCATTTGCCTTGCCAAGACAAGAGTTTCTTCCGAAAGTTTCTTGACCTTACAAAGCACAGTGCAGCAATGACACTAAGGAAGGTCACGAGGAAGGCTCATTCCCCTCCTTTGGTCGAGATCAGTAACTTGAAAACAGAGAACAGAAATTACAGGTTAGTCAGATCGATGCAGTTCATATCAATCGTTGATTGTGAATTGTTGATTGACTCATGGTCACAGAAGCCATTAAGGAAAACAGGATATTCCAGTTCCACAGTATTTGGTTTCCATCTGTTTAAGAATGGGTGATAAATTCCAAAATACCGGTGGAGGAGAAGTTTGAAGCCACACTCTTCCCTCTGCCCCCAGGCCGCTTGCAGACTGCAACCATTTCCATCTAAGAAGCTAGCCTGGCCTCTACATTGCCCATGAGACTTTGGGACTTTAATAAAACCATATAATTTTAGAACTACCCACCAGATACTGATGCACTTTTTTTTGTTGCTTTATTTCCATGATGGTCTAAAAAAGGTATCACCTGTTACTGTCTTTGTAGGATATTCTGTGTTTCTCCCATTTCCCCTCCAGCTTTGATTTCCTCAGAGATACATGCCTCAACAATTTGACCTGCAAATTAAGATGATGTTTATCTTCCAGTGACCAGTTACAAATGCAGGACATGGAGCTGACAGAAAGCATGCACTATGCTTTCATCATGGAGGGGAGCATCCCTTCTAATGGTGTCCTCACTGTATCATGTAGCCTGACCCTCATTTCCCCACCCCACCCCCAAATGCCTCTTGGAGCAAAGATTTTGCTATACTAATTGTGCGTATTCCACCAGTTATGGATCCAGACCCATCAAGCTAGCAGAGGTGGGGAGGGTCAGAAATGGAACCCCACAGGACAAATCTGACTGTCTGTTTCCAAACCTAAAGGCAAGAGAGGCTCTCTGAAAATGCGCTTTGTACATAAAATGACTTGCATATCCATTGCAAGGTGGAGGCCTGGCCTTTCTCTTCTCACTTGTATCCTAGTAATCTTCAAGGAAGATTAGCTGCAGAACCAGGTACCACTGAACCCATTTGCCATTTATCAATACCAACTATCATTGCCTATGTCTTGCCCAACCCAAGGAATCAGAACTGAATTAGCATTTTTCAAAAGAATTTCTTCATTTGAGAAATGTAGCCACTTTTCATTAATTTCTGAAAGCTTAAATATTCTATAGGGTCTTAAAACTACAGTAGATGCAAATCAGACTAAAATCTATTAGTTGTGGTCTTGAAACTGGGGGCAGGGGGGTCAGCTACCACAATAGTTTTCATATTTAAGGGCTTTGTCCCCATCAGCAGCAGCATTAACAACAACCAAAAAAGAAAGGGAGGGAGGGAGCCAAAATAAACCAAACAAAATAAAACCTTCTATTTTTGGAATACCCCTCCCTTGTGTTTTGCATAAAAGTACCTTGTATTTTATGCAAGATATAGTTTCTGATGCAAGTTATTTTGTGCCAAACGCATGTTATTCATAAAAAAAAAAACATTTCTGCAATTGTTTTTTTGGGGGGAAAGCCTGTAATAGCTGCTTTGGGTCCTTTTAAGGGGACAGGCGGGGTAAAAATATTTTAAACACACAAACAAAAGCAGAGATATTAATCCCCTCTAGTCCTCAGTGGGGATAAACATTTATCCTCAGGATAAGGATAAGGACTGCACAGGGAAGCCATTGAAATCCACAAACATCAGCAGAACTTCAACAAAAAAGAAAGTTTGAAACTCAACAAAACTTGGCTCCCAGCACTGAAAAATACAATGTGCAGAAGGTCAACAAACTCTACCCAGCCACAAGGATTGGTGATCTATTCTGCACTACACACAAAAGACCAGCTAACAACACTCATCAATCACAGTGACAGATAATCTCTCCTTCTTATCACAACAAAAACACACTGATCACCATAATCACATATCCTGAAAAGTACAAAAGCTGATCTCACAGCCATAAATACTCAACTCCCAAACAAACTGTACCAGAGCACAGAATTCTACTACTGTCCTCTGAAAATGCCGGCCACAGAGACTGGCGAAATGTTAGGAAGAACCTTCAGAACATAGCCAAAGAGCCCGAAAAACCCAAAACAACCAATGATAAACATTTAATTTCCCCCCCTCTTCTGTGAGAGTGAACTAAACTAAAACTAATATTCCTAACTTTTAGTTAGGAATATGTAGCCCTCACATGTAGCTAGACTACTCAGATATACACACAATTATGAGTAGGAGAGACATATAATATATGGTCTTTCAGTTGTTGTGGAACTATAGTTGTCACCATCCTTCACCATTCCTTGAATGGAAACAACATTTTTAACATTGCACTTCTTATATTGTATGACCCATTCAAATATTGTAAGACCCTTATATTCTATGACCCAGTCAAAACAGCATGAAAATAGGAGTCAAATTCTGCAATTTTCTGTTGCTTGGTGTCTGTCTGTGAATGGTGGTGAGCACAAGAGGGAATCCTGTCAACCAACTTGACTGTGGTGGCTGGTGTCATCAACATTCAGGGTGCCCTTTGCTATGTAAATCTTGGCATTCTTTTTCCTGCTATCCACACTGGCATACTATTACAAGGCAATGCCAGATCATTTCCTGGAGTTCTGAATCGCTGACACAGAAGCAACATATTACATTAACAAAACATAGGGTTTTTTTTGAGAGATTGAATTACATTTTTAGCTAAATTCCTAAGAGGCCTAGCAAAATGGTCTTGAAGTTGTTAGGTAGCTTTGGAGAATTCAACTTAACCCATTTCATAGGCTTCTGGGGATGATACAATGCCACTGAGTAATTTATTTATTTCTGTATGACATCTGTTTAGGACACTTGCTCTGAAATTGCCTTTCACAGTTAAGGAATGTCTACATTTGATATATCTCAAGTTGGTTACAATCAGAAATAGCTGCAATTCAGTGTCCAAATAACTCCCAAACTAACTGAGCAGAATCTCTTCCTGACCTCTTCTTCAACATGTGTAAAGTGGCAAATGTTGTGCTCTACCCCAGTGGTCCCCAACCTTGGGCCTCCAGATGTTCTTGGACTTCAACTCCCAGAAATCCTGGCCAGCAGAGATGGTGGTGAAGGCTTCTGGGAGTTGTAGTCCAAGAACATCTGGAGGCCCAAGGTTGGGGACCACTGCTCTACCCCACAGATCTGTCACAGAGTTGCAAAAAAAATTTCTAACATTGTACACTAAAAGTAATGCATGCATAATCATCAAAGGAGATACTGCTTACCTATTTTGATTTCTGCGCTCTGCATATTAGATAGGCGGCCAGGAATCCTAGGAATATCAGAGCACCTACAATGATAAACACAGCTTCCACAAGGTGTAGCAATTTGATCTTATTTGTCACTTTCGCCCGGAAAAACTCTGCTTTCTTGTCATCAATAACAGCTGTCTGGAGGAAGGAAAGAGAGATCATAGAGCAACATCATTCTAAGTGTATGCTCTGTCCCATCATGTAAACCCCACATTAAAGAAGAAGAACCACCAGTTTATACAGATGACACAAAGTCAGGAATGTAGAACATGTAGCCCTCCAAGTGTTGCGGGACTTCAGCCCCCCATAATCTCTTATAAGATGGGTCAGGACGGAGGTTTGAAAAAAATGACTTTTTTGGGAAGGGTCAGGACAAAAAATTATGCTTTTTAACCACAACTCAGAACTCTGAAAAAGTATCACATTCCATTATATTTTAGATGCTGAAATATTATCTCATTAATGTTGTCTGGGATACAAAAATAGCTTGTTGCACAAACCAGTACAGTACCCATTATTGCTTACCTCCAGTTATTGGCCAAAATGCTGTTGTGTAGTTGCATTCATGGAAAGAAAACACTTCAACTTGCACCAGCTTCTTGCTGGAAGTTCACGAGTCCCTAGCTGGAGTTCTGGGCACACACCAACCCACTGGACTGGTGCATGCCTGTGAATCCAAATGGGGACCCATTAACTGGCAGCAAGAAGACCGTGAATTACATGTTTTGCCTTCCTCAGGTGTAATAAGACAACAGAAGATTGACCATTATTTACTACATGTTAATAAAAATACATACACACAATTCATCACATAGTTTCTGAAGCAACAGAGCAGACATTTTCCACTACCTCCCTCTGCATAATGAAGAGATTTAGTGGAGTAGGTAGAAAACAATTAACTGAATGAATGATGGTTGGGGTTACTTAAGAGTCAGTGGCTAGAATCCTGTCAGTGCAAGTCCACAGGCATAAAGCTGATGATGTCATCAGCCATGGCTTTTAATCTTTAATTAAAAGTTTCCATCTCAGGTAGCAGGGCTAGTGGTGGTGATATTTAGATATTAAATGTCCCCCCTGCAGTCCTGAGGCCCCTCAGGTTATAGTGGTGGTGATATTTAGATATTAAATGTTCCCCCTGCAGTCCTGAGGCCCCCAGAGTCTCCTCAGGTTGAAAGGGATTCCCAGTATCTGAAGGAATAGGAAACTTTTAATTAAAGATAACAGACCATGACTGATGACATCATCAGCCTTATGTAGGCCAATCTGTGCCAACATGATTCCAGTGATTGTCCCTTCTGTTACGATAGAAATGGGAAGCATTATTGCACTGAAGGTCTAGGTGCCATCCCACAAGCCAGTTGATATCAAGGCCGTGGCCATGCTGTCTGATATGTTTGACTTTGCTGCACTTACAAAAAGGTTAGCCCTCAGCACTGGTTACTAGAGGTGGAGGTATTCATATACAAATATGAATATCATTGTGCAACTGGATCTAATGAGGGTCTGGCCCCCAGGGCCGGACCGTCCACTCACATGCCCAATCACACCCAGAGTGCCACTCTATTCCTGCTCAACTAGCCACTCAGCAGCCATGCAGGGAGACTTGTCTTCCCTCCCTCAGGGGCCAGACCCTCATTAAGTCCAGTTGAGCAGGGATATTTGTATTCATATACAAATAACTCCATCTCTACTGGTGACACTGAGGAGGACACAAGACAGGTGAAACTGAAAGACCCTCCATCCCCTTGTTCCAAAAAAAAAAAACAAAAAACAGGATGATCAGGGTATCCCCACTGGGGAGAGAATGCTTAGCAGGCAAAGCTTCCTGTTGTTATCTCAAACCACAGAATGGTTTGTACATGGGGAATCCCTGCTATTATTGTGAATATTGTGTTTATGGGGAATCCCTGCTGTTACTGGCAGTAACAGCATGTTTCAACTCTGTACATCTTGCCTCCGAAACTGCAAGGACAAACCAAAGGGGGGGGGGGAATATCTCTTTCCCAGACTGGCCTTAGGGAGGGAGATGGGCTTTTCCTGGGCCCATATTAGGCTTACAGCATGGAGCCTCCTCCTGTCATGCCAGGAAATTTCAAATAAACAAGTTGAGAAGAAGATGGCTGCAAAAGATGACTCAAAAATTCTTAGACCAACATAAATAAAAGAGAAACAAAAAGATGCCTACCTCATTCAGCCAAAGTACTGGAAAGATAAAGGGGGTTTTGAGCTTTTTTAAAGGTCTGTAATAAATACATTAAAATAAAATTAAATTAGAATGACTCTGATCTGCTCAGTGCAAGAACTGGATGAACAACAACAATTTTTTTCCCAAGTACATTAATCAGTGAGGCCAAAGACTTACGTAATTTTTGTAGAAGGTCTCACTAACAAATTCACTTGCAGTCTTTTGGCGAACTGTAGTGTAAATCCTGTTGTCTTAAAAACACAGAGAACACATTTAAAATTTGGGGCAAAATGTCTTGCCATGGGTGAAACAAATGATGAACCACATTAAAGGGGGCAAGGAACTAGGTGATAGGTTCAAAACAGTTTGCCTCAAAATTGGGGTAATGAACAAAATATAAGATAAAGTTACAGATTTTTCATAACTCAATATTTGGAAAAGTTAAGAATTTTGGACTATAGCTCCCAGAATCACTTCTAAACAGGTTTTAGAACAGTGGGTCTTGACCTTAGGTCCCCAGATGTTCTTGGACTACAACTCCCAGAAATCCTGGCTAGCACAGTTAGCTGTGAAGGCTTTTGGAAGTATTAATCCAATAACATCTGGGAACCCAAAGTTGGGAACCACTGGTTTAGAGCTCTGTACAAATGGAATCTTAAAATTTCCACCACCGTTCTTGGCAGGAATCTCCAAGTATATGTAAGGGGATTTTCCTGCAGCTTCTCAACATCAGCAACAACACAACTAGTCTTTCCTGTCAGTTTCTCTTGCTGCTGACTGATGTGGCAAGAGCAGCTGCAACAAATGGCAGCTGCCACAAAAGTGGTGAAGAGTATGGTGGCCTTTTTCTTGGTTAAGAAGCGGATGGTCCCAGTATGCACCACATCCATCTAAGTCAGACAGGTGGGATCCATACAGTCTCTATCGGTTATTTGGGTGTCATTTCACAGCAATGGTCAGCTTGGTGTTAACCCCAAGTTACTAGAGAGAGGGCACCCAAGATCCTGTGTTTTTGTCAAAATATGCTGGGCCCCATTTTTGTGCCTACACTTTACAGATCAAGCAAGCTTCTTGGACCAGCTGAGTAAACATGTTTAAATTCAATACACATTTGATGACAAGGTATGTAAAATTATTCTGAATCATAAAATGGAATCGCTGCTAATTATTTGCGCAAGATCAGCGTGCATAATCATGGATAACTTACTGGTTCTACATCTAGAAAGGTCATGTGCTCTTGAATATTTGGCTTCATTCCTTCAACACCTTCACCTACATCTTCACTTGCATACAAGAAGTGAGGCAATGTAATAAACACAGGTTTCCCTATGGGAGAAGAAAAATATAGCTTGATCTTATAATATAGGAAGTATATTCTCCACCAGTGGACACAAACAGAGAGTTCGTGTTGTGGTGCAATGAGGAGCTAAGCTTCTTTAGCGAGCCCTTCCCCCGCACTTCTCAGCATACACATGCATGCTGGATTTCTTGTTTATTTAAGAATAACAATTCCCCCAACTGTACATCTTTTAAAGAAAGCAGCACTGCATTAGTTCTCAGGTGCTTCAGCCTCTCAGTCCCTCTTTTCCAGCCCTACAATGATGTTTTAGAAATAGGGCCACTTTTTGACACCATATGAAGTGGCTGCTGCATCTTATACTCTTTGAAAACACATGTGTGCAACTTTGGAATGCCCCTGGATTAATCTCTGAGCCTGGATGCCCAGGTTTTGGCAGTGGCCAGAGTGTATTTGCACACTGAAAACTAATGTACCATCTGCAACCATTCCTGGAGAGGTCTGATCTGGCCACAGTGACACATGCCTTAGCTACATCCCAGCTGGATCACTGTAATATGCTCTATGTGGAGGTAAGTGTGGATTCCAATGCGAAACAACACCATCCCCAGGTTGCACAATTCTGTGACATGCTATATACAGATTAGGACCTATGGTCAGAATGCCAGCAGCGACCAAGCCAAGAGAGGGGGTTAGGATAATGGTCATGGGGGCAGGTGAAGCAGGGAAGGAAGGAATGGATTTATTTTCACAATAGCATCCTGAACCGGGGAATAATTTGCAATTTATGACACCAACCTCATATTAGAAGCAAATTGAGCAACAGGATTTATTTTCACAATAGCATCCTGAACCTGGGGAATAATTTGCAACTTATGACACCAACCTCATATTAGAAGCAAGAATTTCAAATTGAGCAACTCCTCTGCTAAAAATTGTACAAGGTATTGCCTTTTGCAGCAACCATTCAGGTCTACTTTTATCTTTACTTTTTTGCATTTGTGAACACAGAATATTGTTTGCAAATGGAGATAAAATCTGCTGTGACAAACAATGCTTGTTAATGCCCATCATGTACAAACCACATACCAACTTTCCATGTCCCGAGTTCAAAATGTGGGGTGGACACACATCTCTTGAACACGTCCTCCCCCAAAGTTGGAGCATTCCAGATGTACCGGAATACTAGTTCCATAGCCCTGAAGTATCATAAAACTCAGAAAACAGCTGGCTTTGCCCAACAAACCTGGAAGGTACCCACTTGAGGAAGACTGTGTTTGCATCAGAAAAAAAAGATACTGCATGTCCCTTTCTTAGAGACAGGATTCAAGTCATCCATGTAATGAAAAGAGACTTTCTGTATGCAAGCCAAGCTTTAAATATATATAAGGACCGCCACACAGTTTTAGAAATGCTGAGCAGTTTGATGCATCAAGGGGCATTAAAAGGTTGTAATTTGCACTACAAATAATTTCAGTCCATTTCCTATAAGCCTTGTACTTCCAAGTTGGCACCTTGTTTGCAGGAACTGATGTCCAGTGCCCCGGCTGATGTACAGTTCTTTGAGATCTCTTCATCTGTACAGAAGCATATATTGTCAGGACTGATAAGTGGTGATGCAAAAGCAGCTGGCGGCACCACAAAGCGATAGAGTGAGATGTCCTTCACAACTTGGTCACTGTCAAAGTTGCCATAGATGGACCTGTGGATTAAGGGGATACGGAGATAGCATGGGATGGAGAGAGAATGCCTGTATCTGAACATGCACATAGAGTTTCCTCTGAATTATCCATGTATGCACTTAATCTAGAATTTGGATACGTTCAAAACATGGGAAGGACATTAGGGAGATTTTAAAATTCTGAACTACTCCAGAAATCGGGATCAGGTTTTAGGATATGCCAGTAGCTTTCATCAGTCTCACCTGTCCAAATGGCATGTTTGGAATAAATCAGCAGGTGCTTTTCTGAAATGCTGTAACCTGCCTACTGTTTATTCTAAATATTTTATGCCACTCGTAATGAAGACTCAAGTGTCCCTGCCATTAAACTTATTAACAGAAAAGATTCTGATCATCGATCTACTATGTTATGCCAGGTTTGGCTCTGAAAACCCACAAGTTCTGTTACAGTATTATTATTATTCCTTCAGTGTTTTACCCAACTGGCTGTAAGTCAGAAGTTCCATTTGTAAAATTTCAATATTCAAGAAAGGAAACACAGAAAAGCACTCCCCCCCCCCAGGCTCTTTACCTGCAAATATCAGAGGAAAAAAACTGCAGTACTTGACTTTTGCTGACAAAGGGGGGAAATGATGCCCCATCTGTTAGAAGAAAAGTAAAGTAAAAAAATCAAAGTGGCATCTAATCACTCAACGTACATTTAGAAGAGCCACAGAAAGCCAACAGTTGGCTTGCATTCATCTAATTCACCCATTCCATTTTAACAATTGGTTTAGGAATTGGCAGAGACAGACATTCTAGGGGCCAAGCAAAACCTAGGCTTTCCTTCTTGTCTTCCTTACAGCACTAGTCTGAAATCAACCTGAGCTTTCAATGTCTTGGAATCAACAGGTCCAGATTGGGAATTATTTTCAACCCCAAGTCAAGGGAGCACTTTGAATTTTGAAAATACTCCAGTGTGGAGAAACTCTTCATAGCTATCTGGAACGCAGAAAGTTTCACAGAGCCCTTTAAGGGGCAGATCAACTAGTGTTCCTTAAAGAAAATTCTCACTTGTTGACTAGCAGTTCAAGACCCGAGTCCACCTCCAGAGACGTCCACAGTCAGGTCAAAGAAATGGTAAATTGGATAGTGAGTGATCAATTTTAATACATTTATTTTCAGAGTATTCAAATGTTCTCTGTTAGTTACTCTCTGCATATTCCTACATTGAAAAAAAGATGTTGCATGCTTGTGACTTTAAACAGCAGATAGATAATATTCACAGGAGAAAGAGGTGTGTGTTTCTTAAATTAGATTTTACACTTTGGCAGGTATGCCAGTGGGACTGAGCAGTTTCCTGCTCAACATTCTGACTAGTTTATAAAAGTGTACAACAAATGTCTGTTGAGGTCTTTCCTTATTTGGAATGATGTTGCACAATTCAAGCCAGACCGAGTCACCTCTGGAAGTAGAATATTTGCTTTAGACACCTCTTGGTTTGAGTCCTGGAATCAAATCCTATGGGTAGGTGTGGACCCTAAGTCTTGAAACCGCAAGTCTCTAAAAGTACAGCTGTAGCATGCAATGTGAAGCCAAAGGACTGGAAACTAGAAAACACACATATAATTTGTTTGGCATGCTTTGCAATCATATCGTAAATACAAGGCAGCTGCACCGCTCTGACGTACAAGTACCAAAACCCACAGGAGATAACATATTTATTAGAATCAATTCAAGACTGTGCAAACCTTCAGAATCCTCAGATCTGTTTGGATTGTTGTTGTTGTTTTAAGTGTGCATCACCCACATTTTGCCTTCAAATCTTTCTTGAGAATCTGAAAGCTTGGATCCTTTCTACTGGGTTATAGCAGAATGACCAGCTATGGGTCCAATGGCAGTAGGAAAGCTGCCTGTTAACTAACGACAGGCCTCCACTCTCACAATAGTCACAGGCTCATGACTGGCAACACAGTGTCAGCACACATGGTCTAAAAGCAGGGGATGTTTTTCTGCCCTTCCCTAGGGGTATTGTGACAACAGCTCATTAAAAGTTGATTTATTAGCATTACTTCTATTTTTGTAGTTGCCTCAAGTCATAACATTGGAGACCTTGTGTGGGATACATTACTGAAAGTGAAAGAGGTGCCAAACTCATCTTCCATGCTCTTCATATATTTTCTAGTGTAACTCTTATGCAATTGAGGGCTGGATCTACCACCAGGAATAAAGGCAACCACCTAATTCCTTTGTGGGTGTTTTGAATGGGCTGGATACTGTTCATTTATTACCTGTATTTTAAAGGCTGGAGGTGGAGGTGGGGAAAAAAAACCCTCTTATATGATTTGTTTTCTTACAGGTCTAAAACCTTATCCATCCTTGGAAAAAATCTGGTGCACAATGCACAAAACCTGAGTACTACAGAAATATTATATCATTTTTCCTGCAGATCCATGACACCCCTACAGAGAATGTCATTCTCAGAGCTTAGGATATTAATCTTTTGAATTGCAGCTCACAGGGGCCATGCTGGCTATGAAAGCTGAGTCACAATCTGAAAAAATAACATTTCCAAGCCCTGCAATAGAATACCATATACATGATGAGAACAGGAGTAAATGCAACATAGGAAGCGATTGTCCTGCATTCTTCACACCAGCATAGGACTATCCTTGGCGGTGGATGATGGTCAGTAGGCTGCTACAGATCGAGGCTATTCTCCTTGAAAAAAAAAAAAAAAAAAAAAAAGTACTACAGGTTTGAGTCAGACTGATTCAGCCCAAAGTTCCTCCCCCTCAATTCATAGTTTTTCCTCTTCACCAGGGAAGCTTATATTTTTAAAAATATGCATCTTTTTCCACATTAGTGCAGGCATATGATTGCTTGAACCAATGCAAAAAGAAAGGATAGGCTGTGTACATGTGGCCACACAAGGAGACTGCCCCCAGAAAAGTTCACCCCAGACACCTAGAGACACCAACATCACAATGGAACGTCTATTGACTCCCCTTTACAATCTCTCCAGATTTGGTGAAGACTGGGTTTCAGACAACCAAGTTATACACCCATAAAGTGGGTCCCCCCCAAGAAGTGCCCTTTAGCAGCTCATGTGGGGAAACTCAATCTTCACCACACTTGGAGGGATTGTAGAGGAGAGTCAATAGAAGTTTCTATGTAGTTTCAGCATCTCTAGGTGTCTGGAGGGAACTTTCCTGAGGGGGGGGGGTTCTTTGTGGTTGTATAACTTGGACATATGAAGTCCATTCTTCAGCAAACCTGGAGAGCTTTCAGAGTAGAGTTAAAGCAATACTCCCAGAAATTTTGGTGTCTCAAGGTGGGGGGCTGTTTTATAGTCAAAAAAATGATGAATCAAAAATTGCTAAAAATTCATTGATTCATATTTGTCGGAGGCATTGATCTGTACAAATACAAATTGACAAATTAGCACTTTTTGAATGAATTTGGTGATTCATTTTTTAAATTTTGCCCATCTCTATTTCATACATTTACCAAGTTCAATACATAATTGTTTTACATACACATACATACTGTAATATACCACTACGTATACAACCAAAGTTCTGGTACACAGTGTTAGAAAACCAGTCCTTTTTATAGAAACTTACCTGTGCCATTGATCATATCACAGTAACCGCCCCAGTATGGAAGCATGCTTTAAAAGAGAGAGAGAGAGAGAGAGAGAGAACCCAAGTCAGGTCAGGCCATGTGGCATTTGTGAAAATATGTTCTTTAGTAAACCATGTTCTTATCCACGTTGCAGTCTCATGCATTCAACAGCACTTTCTAGCTCTGAATTTCTGATGAAGACAACAGTCTGATTATTGATGCAGTTCTCTCACCCCACCACCTCATAGTGAGTTGATGGTGAAGTATAACTCTTTGCATAGCAGCCTAAGCTAAGTGAAGGTTGGTCTTTTAGGGCAAATGAGGGCCCTGTACCACCACTTCAAGTAACACTATCCTTCCCCCCTCTGCTAATACCATTACAAAGGTGTTGATCTTTTTACTATTATGAAAGCTTTAAAAAAACCTCACAGTACTTGTCTAATCTTTTTGACATAATTTCTCAGTGTATCAAGAAGTCACCTTTTTATTTTCAACACTGAGAACATTTCTGAGTATTCATTATATACTTAGTGTTAGTGCAAGCCTAGTAATCCACCCATCTGTGTCAGAGTTCAGCTGCCTAGAGTGGTCTTACAGACTAGATGGGTGGGGTACAAATCAAATCAAATCAAATCAAATCAAATCAAATCAAATCAAATCAAATCAAATCAAATCAATCAATCAATCAATCAATCAATCAATCAATCAATCAATCAATCAATCAATCAACCAACCAATCAACCAATCAATAAAGGGTGGATGGAGAAATTTTGGAAGTTTTTCTTTAAAAAAATCAGGATTTCATTGGCCAGTTGCACCCCTTACACACAAAGATGGCCTTCTACAATAGCAAGCTGAAACCACAGGAATCAACAGCACAGAGACTGATTACTGGACCACTCACAAGAAAAATCTACAGATACACAATTCAGAAATAAATTGTACCTTTTGTTTTTGTAACTATGGATAATTGCAGTCAAGCTTGTATTCTCTTTCCCAGTGAAGACTCTGTAAAGCCCATCAAGTGTTTCATTGTACTTTAGACAGAAGACAAGAGAGAAAAAGAACATGTACAATTCAGTAATCAAAGTGGTAAAAAAATTCTTTTGAAAAATGACTTTGGAGATTGGTCTATTTTATATTCAAAGAAATCTACACTATTCTATCTCATGCTTCAGTGGACTTATTTTTCTCATTCTCTGGGCACAGAAATTCCATGGGTTTGCTAAACTGGCAAGAAGAAAATGGGCTGAAGTTTAAAAAAAGTCCCAGATCTCTGACATTCAGGTTTTATGCCAAACACCACTATCTTTTGTGAACTAATGCAACTCAAATCAAGATTCTTAAAATTGGTGTTCCAATTACAACAGGGTCACATAGAAGTAATAATCATCTCATATCATTTGCTAGGATTTAAGAAGCAGGGATACTCCCACGCCATATTTTCCTCCTACATGACTGTTTACTCCAGCATCATAAATTGTCTATGAATCCAGATAAACATAAGTTTTGAACAGGGATGGATGCGAAATGGTTCAGAACAATCCGAACTTGAAACTAAACCCACCACCAGCACAGCCTGCCCCTGACCCCTGACCCCATCACCTCACTACCTGGTCCTGCCACTACCTCCTCCACCCCCATTGCTGCAAATGGGCAATCCAGTGCCACATGGTGCTGAACTGCCCATTTTTAATGAAGTTACTTTTAGACATCTTCCTCTTTTGTTACACTGGACTAGATTGTTCATGTTTCAAAACTTTAAAATAACTGGAACTTTGAACATTCTGTTCCAGGTTTTATGGATGGGTAGCTTATGTTGCTAAGATACATTTGCATTTTAATCCCTCAACATTAGTGAGTACAACTAAACTTTACTATCACTTCTGCTTCTAGCATTTGATGCAAGAGGTTAGCATCTACAAAGCATTTTAATTTAAAATAAGATTCTGTTTGGTCCTCATTGACTTGTGGTTGTACCAGCCAGAAATTAAGTTCTAAATCCTAAAGCTGCATTGTTTTTTTAATCTCCATTTACTTTCAAAGGATGGCTTGACAGCATCATTTAATACTATCATCTCTCTCATAGAGGACACCATCAGAAGGGATTCATTTCCTGTTTTGACTCATACATACAGGGTAGAATACTCCAACTTTTCTTTCAACTCCCGGAAGTGGAATTTTCATCAAGAAAGGGTCTTCATAGCCCCAGAGTATTTCCTTCACAGTTCTGGTCTGGAGGAATTTTGATTTTGATAACTTTATCCAGATGTCCAACATTGCCTGTATGAATCCGGCTTGATATAAAGCAGGTGCAGCCTGTGACAGACACAAATTAAGCAGACTGCAATTAGTCTTATCTTTGCAGTGACTTATATGGTTGATTGATATCAACATAGGTAAACATAAAAAGTTGCATCCTGGTTTAGTCACCCACTGACATCAAGGGATATCTATTAGTTAGATGCACAACTCTTACTGAAAACATTAGTTCTACTGTAAGTATGTCTAAATTGGGATCCAACCCATAGATCAGAGAAGTCATATGGAGGAATTTCTGATCGAGTGTATTGTTTTAGGTTGCAGAAGAAAATATCTTTAAAGTAGGTGGGAGGAATTGCCTATTATTTTCTTTGTTTATTGCACTTTTAGATCATCTGACAACCAGAGGTTTCTGGGCACTGTATAATACAATAACAATAAAAATCAAATAATTGCTCAAAGTGGTGGTGAATTCTGTTAAACACAGCATGATATAGTCAGCCTTTATTTTGGTAATTTGGAACTGAAGTTCACCTAAGATTATCAAATATGAGAGCCGAGACATACAACCCAGTATCCTTCAGATGGTTGTTGTAGGGTTTTTGGGCTGTCTGGCCGTGCTCTTGAAGTTTTCCTTCCTAACGTTTCGCCAGTCTCTGTGGCCGGCATCTTCAGAGGACAGGAGTCAGAACTCTGTCTGTGCTCCTTCAGATGTTTTGAACTACAAACTCCTGTAATGGCCAACCAACATGACGGGTGATCAGGGCTTATGGGAGTTTAAATCCAGAACAGCTTCAGGGCCTTGGGTTGTCTGCAGCTAAGTATACCACATATGGTTTTCCAAGTCTCTCTCTACTTGTCACATGATGTACATGCTGTATTCTAGAAGCATATTCATATTTCAAGGGATTTTAAGTTTCATACATGCAAGGCGTATCTAGATTGCAAGCTGGCACCAGTCAAAGTGCAGGCACATGTTCTTTGACTGGTGTCAGCTTGCAATCCAGATATGCCTTTTCTCTGGAGCACTCCTGCTTGGGAAACCTATAGGGTTCTTCAGGACCAGGCCTCTTCTCCTCTTGCTGTGAGTCAGCTGCTTGGCAGTCAGAAATTACCTTCTGCTTCATCTGGAACTGCATTTGGGGACAGATATGTAAGCGGTGCTGGTGGTGAGGTTGCTGCCAAAGAGGGCGACACAAAAGGACTGCTGGTCAGTGGAAAGTCAGAGTTGGGAGCTGGGATTCAATTCATTATAGAAGGCATTGCATTCCTCCTGGCAGGTTAGATTTGTAGCCTGGTAGTGCTCCCTGACTCAGCACCATCACTAGACTCCCAAGTGGTAGCAGTGATGAGGAATGCCATAGCAAAGTTCCACTTTCGGACACGACTAAACGACTAAACACAGGACCTTTCCTGACTTGGCCTTACATAGCAACAGACATCCATGCCTTCGTTACACATGCCTTGATGACTGCAATGCACTGAATATGGGGCTACCCTTCAAGAAAGTCTGCAGCTAGGCTCCTAATTGGTGCCTGGTATCATAATCATATGAGTCTGATACCGGAAGCCCTGCACTAGTTGCCAGTTGCTTACCACGTCTAATCCAAGGTGTTTAAATCTTTAAAGCTGTAAACACCTTGGACCTAGTTATCTAAGCAACCACCTGCCTTTCTATGAACTTGTCTGGACATTAAAATCTTCAGGAAATGCCAATGGTTTCAGAGGTCTGCCTAACAAGCACGCAGGAGACAGTCTTCCTGTATGTAGCTCCCAGACTATGGAATACACTCCCTTGTAATTTGTGGTTGGCTTCCACTCTAACTGATTTTAAGAAGGGAGTACCCTGTTTCCCCGATAATAAGACCTAAACTGAAAATAAACCCTAGTATGATTTTTCAGGATGCTCGTAATATAAGACCTTCCTCAAAAATAAGCCCCAGTTAAGTGAAACCCTGCCCTCCACCATTGTGCAGCAACAAGATGATGACATGACTGTACAATAAAACATTCCCTGAAAATAAGCCCTAATGTGTTTTTGGAGCAAAAATTAATATAAGACCCTGTCTTATTTTCGGGGAAACACAGTACAAGGATGTCTTTTTAGACTGGTATATGATGTCTAATCCTGCTGTGTTATTTTTAATTTGTACCTATTATTGATTTTAGTTGTTTTTAATATACTCATTTGATTTTAATGGTGTTACAGTGGGAAAGATTATACGATTCTGTGATTTTTAGCTAAAGATTGATTTTTCTGTTTTATCTCTTTTCTTTTATTCATTTAAGAAATTCTTAAGCTGCCTTGAGTGCCATTTTTAGAGGAAAGGCAGGGTATTGATGTAACAAACAAGTTTTTTTCCCCCAGTGCCAAAAAGACAGAAACTATGCAACAAGTATTTCTAAATACAGTTTTCTGTATAAGCCAGTTTTGTTACCTGAGAGAGACCATTAACAGTCTAAAAAGGATGCTCAGGTTTCAAAATTAACATATCTCAGAGTTCAAAGGACTTAATATCTATTTCTTTATTTTAACTGCATTGCATCAATGCACTGATCACTGCTATTATAATTCATCTAAATCATAAAAATAGTTCTCATTTGATTCAATCACTTTGTATTCAATAAAACAGAAAACTAGACAATATACTTTTTTTGCTGCCACATGTAAAAGTATTTGCATTCCTGTGGCATAGTTTCACTCATTTAGACTTCCAGACAGAGAGCAGCATTATTTCTATACAAACAAACAGTACATTCTAAGTCATACAAAGAAATATGATCTCATTCTACAGATCATGTCCTATGGAGTTTGAGCTACAGTGGTGCCTCGCTTAACAACGATAATCAGTTCCAGGAAAATCGCCGTTAAGTGAAAACATCGTAAAGCCAAAAAACCCCATTGAAACACATTGAAATCCCTTCAATGCGTTCCAATGGGGTCAAAACTCACCATCCAGCAAAGATCCTCCATAGGGCAGCCATTTTCGCTGCCTGTCTTGCAAGCAATCCATCCCAGAAAACAGCAGGGAGCCATTTTGGTTACCCAGTGGCCATTTTGAAACCGCCGATCAGCTGTTTTAAAATCGTCGTTTTGCGAAGAATCGGTTCCCAAAGCAGGGAACCGATCATCGCAAAGCAAAAAAAACCAAAAACATTTAGACCATCGCAATTGCAATCGCAAAAAGATCATCGTAATGCGGTTTCGTTGTAATGTGGGGCAATTGTAAAGCGAGGCACGACTGTACATGCTTTTCCTCAGACTCACTGTCTCAACAGGACTGGTGGGCTTTGGAGATGCTGCCACACTGACACTAAATGGTGCCATTTTGAGCTGCCTTGGGTTCTTTTTAAGGAGAAAGGCGGGATAAAAATATTTTAAATGAATGAATAAAATAAATAAATAAATAGTAGCTCACTTAAGGAAATCAAGTAAAGGATGGACAAGGGATCTGAGGAAGCTTCTCTGTTCCCTATCAGCTTAAAGCAAGAGGGCAGCAGTGTTTTTTTTGAGGAACATAAGCAAAGGAGGAACATGTAGCCAAACCAAATAAGTCGGAAGTCTGGAAATTCTACTTTGCATCCTCAACATTAATTTGTTGTGCATGTTTGGGGACATCTCCATGTGTGAGAGAGAAGATAATTTTTTTGACACTGTGAAGGTTGTTATAACCCTGTGAGCTTCATCTTAGCTTTTTATCACTTTCATTACTTACCACAACAGCAAGATTGACCATGGTGAAGGTGTCGTTTTCTGACCCAACTGACATATCAGGCTCAAAGCGAGCAATATTTGGCTGGAAATAAGACACTGTGGAGTCAGGATGGTATGTGATGTTTTCCTTGGGTAAATATCTCATCCTTAGAAAAGGAAGAAACTTGACTTCAGTGATGAAAGTTGAACTGAAATCATGAGAATTGACAAAAGCCAGCACCTCCATAACGAGCTGAACTGATATTCCATCTAACCTCTGAACTGAGCTTTGACACATATGCTGACACATTCATGTTAGATTACTGAAGAAAATCATTAACATTAAGCTACTAAGAGAATAGTACAACATGAATCTGTTCCATCATGTGTTATTAATATATTATGTCTAAATGAAAAGTCATTAATAGCATTTAAAATGGCCACAAATGACCCCCAACCCACAAAGGAATATGTTAACAGCTATTTAAAAATTTGACAACCTTTGCATTCAATGAGTATAATTGGAAACGTTTGAATTGTTATTGAATATGAACAGCTGGATAGCTCAGTGGCTTAGGTCTCTAGCTGCAAAGCCAGACATAATGAGTTCAGTTCCCCACTGTGCCTCCTTGAGAGGGGCTGGACTTGATGATCCACAGGGTTCCTTCCAGTTCTGCAATTCAAAGGCTATTATTATTATTAAAACTTTAACAAATTAGGAGTGAAAGACAAAATCTTCCAGTTCTGCAATTCAAAGGTTATTATTATGAAAACTTTAACAAATTAGGAGTGAAAAACAAAATCGTAAGAAATTGTTTCCAACTTCTAACTGCCAAGATTTCCCCTCCTCAATCAACCCCAGTTATTCACGGCTTCTTTCTGTATATATTTCTGGATTATTCTTTCACAGATAGTGCCTCCTACACATATTGAGTATTAGCTTGAGTAGGCTGTTGTAGTCAAACAAATCTGAAGGGCACCATCTTGGGAAGGACTGGGTCGACACATCTGTGGGGTGTGTTGCGAACCATTGCAACATGTGTTCTGAAGGTGGAAGAGAGATTTTCAAAATGACTGGGATGCTTAATGTATGGCAGGCAATTCACCGGAATATGGAGCTAATCAACATATTGGACTAGACTGACAGAGATCAGTATTCTCTTAAACCGGATTATTACTGGGGAGTGGTACACAAGGGAACAGACATGAGGTGACTGATCACTAGGCCTTTCCAGATTCTGAACTAAAGCCAATTGTAAAGCACATAAAACTTTCAAGGTCTACTAAACTGTAGGCTGAAAGCATAAGTAGACAGCAGTGGCCTCATGATTACCAGACTTCAGTACTTCTAACTATCCAACTGCTATCTGACAGGATAACAAATCAGTGTTGCTGGCCTATTGTTGAGTGTTCCCCAACCCCCGGCTCTATAAACCAGTGGTCCCCAACCTTGGGCCTCCAGATGTTCTTGGACTACAACTCCCAGAAGCCTTCACCATCACCTCTGCTGGCCAGGATTTCTGGGAGTTGAAGTCCAAGAACATCTGGAGGCCCAAGGTTGGGGACCCCTGCTATAAACTACAAAGGAATACTGTACAATACACACAATTCTTTGGAAGAAAGGCCACAACTTTATTGGTTACAGCAGCAGTTCTTGGCCAGCATTGGGGGATTGGATCTAGTGCATGGAGAGGCCAGAGCGCCACCCAATGCCTACTACCATTCACTTCAGCAGCTGCTGAAGGTTCCACCAGAATTAGGAATTTTCCGGAAACCACACCGATGCACACCAAGATTCTTATATAGCTGGGGCAGGGGGTGGGACTGCAGCTCCTCTAGCTGGACCAGACAATGACTCTGGCTCAATCTCCCCATACAGGGAGGTTCGGTAAATGTTCCGGGTGAACAGGCTCCTGTCATCACCCTTAAGCCATCCAGCTCCAATCTCAATGCCCCAAACAGTCAACAAAATTTTGACAAGACTGAGTGTACACACACATTGCAGTGAAAACACCTGAACTATCCCTCATGCAACCACTAACACCACATCCTGCCATCACTGTAAAAGAGGGAGGGAGGGAAAAGAAGAAAGGGTTGGGTGCTGGCAAGCAGCAGAGCTGCTGGTGGGTGGCTGCACCCTCCAGCTTTTAAGCTGGGCAGCCAGACCAGGGTGAAAATCACCATTTCCAGTCTACCTGTACCATCTGAATCCCACTCATCCCACCAGCCAACACCAGGGCCAAGAGGGAAACCCCACTCCTCACTAGCTAATCAAGGCCACTAGGGGAGCCTTTGACAGCTCCTCCTCCTTGCTCCACTAGATGGTGTGGCTGCTGCCATGCCTCTCCCAGCACCCTGGACCCAGGTGAGCCCTTCTCAAAACCAACTGAAACAAAGTACGTAAGTCTGTGCTCCCGCTTTAATTCATAAGAGCTTGCTTACCTATAGGTATATGGGCCTCTCTGCTTGAGAACAGGTTTTGATCCATTTTCCATCACTGCTTCTGGGTTTTGCACATCGAAGATCCAAAACTGCCTGTAGACTGGGCTGCCAGCCACAACCCAGTTTTCATAGGCAACTGTGCCATTTTCAAGTATGGTTTCCTGCAAAAGGGGAGGAAAAAGAGTGCTTATGTGTGTTTTTTTCTCTTTGTGCTGTCAAAAAAAAGAGAGAAAGGCTCCAACATGAACTTCTGCACATTCAAAAGAACTATTTTAAAAATGTTAATCTTTCACTCAAAATCTCACCTGCCTGCCCCATCCATTTAGGGCCCCGTTCCAATTGTTCAAAGTCATACAGGCAAAAATAGCATTTCTGGAAAATACCAATAGGTAAAATGTTCGATCTGAAGCTTCAACTGAGACCCTTATTATTCTACAGAAAAATCTAGGTTTGAATAGAGGACAATAGGACAGAACTTTGAGGAACAAAAATAAACTACTTAAAGTCTCTGAAAAAAAAACATTTCTAACATCAGAACAAAGAAAGCTGCTGAGTAAAAGCATTGGTTCACCTAACCCTGTTACTGCCAACTCTGAGTGGCAGCAACTCCTTATGATTTCAGACATGCATTGTTTCGTAGCTCTGCTTGGAGATCCCCAATATTCTCTAGTGGTGCTATTCACTTCTTTGAACACCCAGTACTAAAAACTTCTGTTCCTGCTTAAGCAAAATCAGGCATGTTTAGCATGCTTTATTTTGCTATTGGTCATGGCAATATAAACAATGGCTTAATTTGTAAGCCTAATTGTTGAGGCACAGATCTCTGAGGAATTCAAGGCAAAACAAGCTTGTTAGAGAGAATGCAGAGCCCCTTACAACGGCCTATTTCCAGAAAGTTGCACAACAGTTGATTTGCAAACTGCGACAAGAGATCACTCAGATCCAAGACTTTGCAGGTCCATTTGAATTCACTGGCTGAAATCCAGCAGTAAGTAGCAACTTGAGTGGGCCCATTCAATCAGTGGGGATTTGGTGAGCCAACTCCTCCTTAAGTTCCATTGATTGAATGGTCCTACTGTAGTGGTGACTTAACAGCTGAATTTCAGTTACTACAGTATTTGCCTATCAAAGCACACCCTAACACAGCGGAAGAGTAACAAACCACCTTCTAACTCCTGCTCAGAAAAAAAGGGTGAGTGGTACGAATAAGAACGCTTTGAACAGAATGAAAAAGGAAATTACAAAAATATATTGGGAACTGTAATAAAAATATATTGATCTCCTATTCCATGCCAATATGTATAAAATGTAGTTTCACTCTTTATTTCTCATCACTAGCTTCTGAGCATCAACCCTGAAGCTAACATTACAGAAGGTCAACCTTTAACAAGACACGGTTGCTTTGGGAAGTCCCTTTTTCACCTCCACAGCAGATAAGGACCAGAGCACAGAGTGCTGTCCTCTGAAGATGCTGGACACAGAGACTGGCAAAACGTTAAGAAGAACAACCTTCAGAACACAGCCAAAGAGCCCGAAAAACCCACAACAACCAAGGGTCATTTTGTTGTTTAGTCGTTAAGTCATGTCTGACCCTTCGTGACACCATGGACCAGAGCACGCCAGGCCCTCCTGTCTTCCACTGTCTCCCGGAGTTGGATCAGATTCATGTTGGTAGCTTCGATGACACTCTCCATCCATCTCATCTACTGTCGTCCCCTTCTCCTCTTTCCTTCACACTTTCCTAACATCAGGGTCTTTTCCAGGGAGTCTTCTCTTCTCATGAGATGGCCAAAGTATTGGAGCCTCAGCTTCAGGATCTGTCCTTCCAGTGAGCACTCAGGGTTGATTTCTTTCAGAATGGATAGGTTTGTTCTCCTTGCAGTCCAGGGGACTCTCAAGAGTTTCCTCCAGCACCACAATGTAAAAGCATCAATTCTTCAGTGGTCAGCCTTCTTTATGATCCAGCTCTCACTGCCATACATCGCTACTGGAAGAACCATAGCTTTGACTATGCAGACCTTTGTCGGCAAGGTGATGTCTTTGCTTTTTAAGATGCTGTCTGGGTTTGTCATTGCTTTCCTCCCAAGAAGCAAGCGTCTTTTAATTTCGTGGCTGCTATCTCCATCTGCAGTGATCATGGAGCCCAAGAAAGTTAAATCTGTCACCGCCTCCATATCTTCCCCTTCTATTTGCCAGATGTTGATGGGTTTGGTGGCCATGATCTTAGTTTTTATTTATGTTGAGCTTCAGACCATTTTTTGCGCTCTCCTCTTTCACCCTCATTAAGAGTTTCTTTAATTCCTAAGGGCCATAGCTTACATCAAAATAACTTTACAAGGACATTAGACTATGTCCAGTCTCAGAGTCTGTATCCCATCCTGAACATTAGCCTATACAAACTGCAATGTGAAAGGTGTCGGATCACGTTTACACAATATGCCTTTTGTCTCTGACTGGTCATCATTGTCCAGGAGTTGACAAGGCTAACTCAAAGGCACCTCTAAGAATGCAACATCAAAACACATATGCAGCTTTTGGGTCAGGCTGTCTGTGGAAACCAGAACTTATTTTTCTGCTTGTGAAACACTGTGTTCTGTTTTGCTGTGGGTCAACTCCTATAAAGGTATGCAGGTATTCCTGTATTCTCTGAGATGCTTGGATGTGGGTCATGAGACCCCAGGCTCTCCATCTTGCAAGCTTCTGCTGCTTCTCTTTTTAAATAAACCTCTCTTTCATATTTGCAAATTTATCTTGTGTGCAATTTGGTCCTCTCCAATTTTCTCTCCCCCCCCCCCCACATACCTGGTTGGATCTTCCACGGGCG